ATGAATCAGTTGTGCAGCTTCTTCTCGAACGTGGGGCGGACGCGAATGCTCGGGGTGGCGGTTATGGCGATGCACTGCAAGGAGCTGCATTTGCGGGGAGCGTGTCAGTTGTGCAGCGTCTCCTGGACCACGGAGCATGGGTGAATACTCAGGTTGGATTTTATGGCAATGCACTGCAAGCGGCGGCACATACAGAGCATGAATCGGTTGTGCAACTTCTTCTAAAAAACGGAGCAGATGTGAATGCTGAGGGTGGTCAATATGGCAATGCACTACAAGCAGCTTCAGCAGCGGGGAGCCGGTCGGTTGTGCAGCTTCTTCTCGATCACGGAGCAGTGGTGAATGCTCAGGGTGGCTTTCATGACAATGCACTTCAAGCAGCTGCATTTGCGGGGAGTGAGTCAATTGTGAACCTTCTCCTCGAGCGTGAAGCAGAGCTAAATGCTCAGGGTGGCTATTATGGCAGTGCGCTACAAGCGGCGGCATCAAGAGGGAACGGATCGGTTGTACAGCTTCTCCTTGAGTGCAAGGTAGACGTACATGCTCAGGGTGGTAGATATGGCAATGCACTACAAGCAGCTGCAGCAGTGGGGAGCGAGCCGATTGTGCAACTCCTTCTCAACCATGGGGTGGAGGTGAATGCTCAGGGTGGTTATCACGGGAGCGCTCTTCAAGCAGCTGCATTTGCGGGGAATCAATCAGTTGTGAAGCTTCTCCTGAAGCATAATGCAAAGCTGAATGCGCAGGGTGGCTATTATGGCAGTGCGCTCCAAGCAGCGGTAGCAAGAGGGAACAGATCGGTTGTAGAGCTTCTTCTCGAGCACAAGGCAGATCTGAATTCTAAGTCTGGCCGCTTCGACAGCGCACTTCAAGCAGCTGTAGCAAGGAGGAACGAACCAATTGCACGGCTTCTCCTCAAAAACGGCGCAGACGTGAATTCTCTGTTGGCCCGTTACGGTACTGCCCTGTCTGCAGCTGTGCATGGGCGGAGTGAATCAATGGTGAAGCTTCTCCTAGAGTACAAGGCAGAGTTGGATACTCAGGGCTGTGCACTGCATGAAGCTGCAGTGCGAGGGACCCGATCAGTTGTGCAGTGTCTCCTCACCCATGGGGTGAATGTGAATGCTCAGCATGAGAATTATGGCAACGCCCTCCAAGCAGCTGCCATAGGGGGCTGTGAATCGGTTGCACAGCTTCTTCTCGAACGTGGAGCGGAGGTGGATGCTCGAGGTGGCGATTATGGCAATGCACTACAAGCAGCTGTAGCCGCCGGGAGCGAACCTGTTGCACGGCTTCTTCTTGAGAAAGGGGCCAACGTGAATGCTCCAGGTGGCTCCTATGACAATGCCCTACAAGCAGCGATAATGAGAGAGAATAGGCCTCTTGAGCGGCTTCTGCTGAAGCATGGGGCCGGCCGGGAAGCCTGAATCTTGACAATGCACTAGAGAAAGAGCAGGACGAGTAGTGTACCCAGGGGACCTTCTATATAATTCAATTACCTTCAAACCACGTGGCTAACCGGCAACCAATCCTTCAAATTATTCCTCTCTTATCCCACCGATCCCTACCCTCTCATCTAGGCTAGCATTGCCAATGCAGCTATACATTATCTACGTTTACCACCTATGCACCCATCACCACCATGCATCAACCATATCGCTCTGGTATTGTGCTAGTGCGAACTCTCGACAACCGCTCATCCTCCGAATGACATCGAGAACTCTGCACCCAGAACATCACACTCGGGCAATTCTCGGGGGCCTCATCCTTCTCCACTATCACTCCACTCTGTTATCAAAACCCAAATCTGCAGCTGCTGTTTGCACCGATCTGACCTCTGTACTAAATTTACCTCTATCACCCGGTCTTCTTTATCCCCTAACCCACTCCCACACCCCCCCAAAAAATAGATTCCCCATTCGCAATTACAGACCCTCTCTATACCAATCGGGTGTTCTCTTTAACTTACTACAATGAAGGATATTTATTTCTGATGAACCCTGTTTTTCATTTTTTCATTATTATCTTGCTTCAATAGCTAAATTCGACATTTCTCAGATTTTTCCTTGTCTAAGGTTTGGGGATACACCAATACTCGCTATCTATTTACAAATTTTCCAAGGGACTTGCTGACTAAAGGAATAAGGGTATTGTTCTAGAGGTAGCGGGAATATATCAGAGGAGATTAGAGGAGGCGGGAAGTTTCAGTCTGATTTATCTAGTTTTCTTCTTCTCCTTTTCCTCCCTAGGCTGGTTGTGCTCGGCCTGGCTGTATCCTGGAACAGGAATTCGGTATTTATTTTTTTCCCATGTTTTCATTTCCCAATATTTCTTTCCCTTTCTCTTCCGATTCTTACTAGTGGTGTGGCTCCTATGTTTGCGGATCCCTAGGGAGGGTGAGGGAAGCCTAGCATCTGATCTTGGGGCGGGGATTGTGGTTTCGTTGTCTGCTTTTCGTCATATTTCCTTTCCTATCGTATCACCATATCGGTAACGGATCAATACATTAGTCGTTGGTATGATACTGGTCTCAAGATTATAATAGTGCATAGAATTTTCTATCGCGGTGGCAAGCTCCCCCAGGTATGAATTGATCCAGCGTAAACCTTACCATAGGTTAACCGGGGCTACCGGGGCTACCCAAGACACCTTAGGGTGGTTTGTGAAATAGTTTGAGTGAGATATGGGGTGACTAAAGAGTGTTATCCGGGGGATAGTCCATTGTTTTACACCCTAGATAAAATTGAGAGCAATGAGGAATAATGAGAATTGGTGACTCGGGTAGGGGGAAATCTAATCTACTTCTCACTCTGTATGCTCCTTATCTGGGGCACACTTCCTTAACCTCCTTGGGTTAGCCGTTGTTGGTTCCACTCGCGTTGACTATTAAATTGACTATGGGCCAGGTCCAGGCTTTTTGATTTTGATGGTTGTTCTAAGAGATAGCGCTATAGCGTGATAGAGAATGTCGCTCAATATTTGTTCCTGTGGGACTCAGGATGCTCCGGTGAACATTGCATACACTGGGTGAGTGTATCAGGCATAGGATTGAAGATATTGTTTTATTAATTCGTTATTTTCAGGATAAGGGACACGGGACATTTGCTGCTAGTATAACGAATTCTCTGTTGGGAGAGTGCGATGATCTCATACCCAGGAATTTTTCCCTTTCCCCGGTTTCCAGCGGGAGGCGCATTCCATGGTATGATATCGTAATAACACAAAAATCCTTTGGGTTCAATTTCCCTGCTCCTCTGAAATCGGAGTTTGGGGTATTCGCAGGGTTAGGCTTGTAAAGCTGAAATCCGGAAGAGAGATTGAAGGTCGTAGCTCAGATGGTGGGCTCAGCAGTACACTGACGGCGCCTGGGTAAAAGCTCATAGCTGTAGCTTATCTATTGGATAGCCGGGGAACTGATTTTACAATATATATTTATCCTAGAGACGCCAACCACTGATGGAGCTGCAGTGGAAACCGAAAAGATTGGGAGTCCTGCTAAGACATTGGACTTGCTTCGTTTAGAAAGGTCACTTGTCTCAAATGATTGCTGAAGGGTCCCGCCCAATATATTTCCCCCCGGAATCCGAAGAGGGAAACTCTGGAGGTCCTTGCATCATCCTCAATTATTATTATTATTTTTTACGGTAGCAATGGTTGAGGGGCGAAAGAAAGCTGGGTTTTTAGGGCACCGGACGGAAACAGGTTTGTTGTAAATCCACTGCCAGATATCGAAATTTGGAGGGATTGGAAGCAAATAGTGGCAGTAATAGGCGGCAGTTCGTCCTTGATAACCCTACGATCAGTCAATGGGTGACTCTCTACCAAATGGCGGCCCATGATGCTGCACTTTAGTCTCGAACGGAGAGCCCCTGAACTAGGATGAAAGAACTTGCTCAAAGTAAAAGATAGCATTGTATGAATCTTGGGCATGCTATGATACGTTAGTTGATATCTCGGTTGGGTAACAAAAGTAGGAGGAAGGATTTTAAACCACTTGTAAGAGGATTAAGTGTTCCACTAGATAGGGGGTTGGTTGGGTTGCCATCGCGCCTTCTTTGGTCAGTATGATACCTTCACACTCGACACTCCCGGCAGTCTACTACCCCAAGACTGTGCTCGATTACTCACCCCGGACAAACAACTGTTCATTTCCCGAACCCCATCTATCCATCGACCGCGGAATACCCCACATGGCTTCCACGACTTTCTCGGAACCTTCAAATTACCTCACGACCAGTTTACTTGAATATACAAACTCGGATCTCCAACTCTCTCTACCAACCCGGCCTCTCTAATACCTCTATCCCATAGCCTCATCCTCCTACATCTAATTCAACACCCCAGACACAACCCCCCCCCTCCATGCCCTATTACACAAGTATTCAGTACCCATTGAAGATCTCATTTTTACTTACCGCACTAATTCATTCTTATTTCACCCCATCTCTTTATTATCCTTCTCTCCTTTCAGAACAAAAACTCGATACATCCTGGATTGCACCATGTGGGGTTTGGGGCCACACCCATACTTACCATCAATGGGCGAATCGGTCGGAAGACCTCGATAGAAGGAGTAGCTTGAGGAGTATTGTTCTCGGGGCCGCAAGAGGGGATTAAAAGTGTTTGGAAGAGGAGGGGATTGTCAAGCTGGCTTACCAATTTATTTGTTAGATAATTGGGTCTTATCTCGGACTATACTCGAACAAGGCTTTGGAGCTCCCTTCATTTTGCCTATATTTCTTTCCCCCTCTCTTTCTTTCCTTTTCTGGGCTAAATAAGGCCCCGGGTTTAGGCTCATGGAGGGGGCTGGTGTGCAGGAAATGGTGTCTTCTTCACTCCCGGGGGATGGATTGTTCGTGGTCTTGTTTTCTCTGCTTCGTTTTTTTTTTCGCCTTCTTTTTCAGTTGCATCACCCTATTAACGCTTTATCAATGCATTAATCGTTGGGACTAGTCCTAAGAGTATGATAGCGAATTGGATTCTCCTATCGCAGTACCAAGTTCCCTTCATGTCAAATTCGACAATGCGTATGAATTGATCGGGAGTGGGTCTTGAGATTGATTAACTAGGATTGAAAATACGTGGACCCGACCTGACCTAGTGCGGACAAAGGTTTGGCCCGGCCTGACTCAACCCAATAAATCACACTCCGGGTTAATCAGGGGGCCCATTGGACCTCCACCCGAAATGAGCCAGGCACGACACGGGAGGGTTAAAGCTAGCTTCATTGAGGATAGACAGCCTGTTATTTTGTCTCCTCAATAGTACGCGAGTGAGGAGGATTGGCACTCAAAGAGCAACTCTGGCATGAGTGGAGGAAGTTGAATCTCATCCTTATCATGCAAATTCTGCCCGTAGCACTTCCCCCCTAACCTCCTTCTTTATAATATGTAGGCATTAATTCAATAGCCCCCCCAATTTGGTATGGGGCCTGCATCATATGGCCTCCAACAACGATTACCCCCTATTAGTAGGACTAACCCGTGCTGGGCTAGCTCCCCGGATTTTGGTGCAGAGGGCCTAGGGTTATTTCATAAACATCACACAGGCTATCATGGCAATATCTATCAAGCATAGACTTGAACACTTAGTAATTAGAGGGTGATTATCTTTCGGATTAATAACTTACGGGGCGCTACCCACAACCAGTATTTCGTCGGGAGGCCTCGATTGTTCCCACCTATTACGGTAAGAGTGTTTTTTTTTCGCCCTCGGCTTCCAGCTAGGTCCAGATTCACAGAAATAACAGATTTAAATTCAACCCATGCGCCCTGTGCAACCAGAGTTCGGAGAACCCCTACTACCAAATTCGTAAAGCCAAAACTCGGGAAGTGACCCTCAGGCCGATAGGATGGATGGGCTTGAGAGATCACTACAAGCATCAGAAAAAAGGCTCACAGCTGCAGTTGATCGATCGAATTGCTCGGGGGCCAATCCCACATGGCTAATTTACCCCAGTATCACTAACCAGAAGCCGAACCAGTAGCAGA